GATTTTTTCCCTTCTCCTTTTTTTTTTTAATTATTTTATTTCCCCGTCTTATATTTCTTCTCTTCCTTTTGTATTTTATTTGATGCTGTTGTGCGGGAGGAGTTGCACTTTGGGCAAAGGTGTTTTGCACAGATTTTACAAACCAGTGATGGAGCAGACACAAACTTAGAGGAATTCAACTCTGCTACTAAAGCAAATTTTGGCATCTGCAACAGTCGTGCAGATTACTTTTGAAAAGTTTTGGGGGAAAAGACTCATTTGAGAAAAGACCTGGCTGGCAGTAGCCCTTAAGAACTCTTTTTTTCCTGCCATTAAATATGTATATTTATTTTGATTTATTCTCAAGAAGCACTTTATTTCCTTTTCCCTTCATAGATCACAAAAATGAAGCCATCTTTTAAGAGGTGCAGCCATTCCAAGAAAGAAACCATGGGGGGAGGGGGAGTGTTGTTTTCTGTTTTGTTTTTTGTGTTTCTTTAAAGGAAAGAGGGATTCACTGCAAAGTTGAATTGACTTAAACTTAGACTTGTGCAACATTCTTCTGCCTGTCTAGAAAGTCCAAGTGCCCAGATTGCCTGCTGTGTTTGTATACGGTAAAAAAGAGGAAAAAAAAAAAGAAGAAAAAGCAAAGCAAAACCTCTTGTGACTCAAACTCTGACTGCATTTTAGGCAGCTTATATTTGTCTTTATAGCCCATGTGCACTTAAAAGTTACTTTCTAAATTAGTCCTTTTTTGTTTTCACTGAATGCATTGGAGAAAATCCTACCCCACCAAGCTGATTTTTCAATGAGAATCAGCTTTCTGCATTTTAAGAATATATTAATCTATTTTAGGTGATTGCCACTGGTCCTTAATTGTAATGTAGATGATGCAAATGATTTGACTAATGGTGCAAAAATGAGTTTTGTCTAGAATGGTTATAATTATCAGGATCTCTGACTGCTCCAGGAAAAAAGCATAGACCAGCAGTGATAAATAATAAGGAGCATGGGAAATTATCTATATGTTTATTCCAAAAGGCAGCATAGCTGGGATATCTGCTCCTGGGAAATGAGTGTCCTGGTATTTATTGTCTTAAGTGTTTTTAGAACCAGGGTTTGGGTTTTCAATTTAAGTGGGAAAACTGTTTAAATGATTGTTGGAAAGGAATTAATTGATAGCCTGTGAATAATGACTTACTGAGCTGTCTTGGGCTCTGAGAGATGTGTTCTGGTTCTGACCCAAGAATATACAATGAATTCACCCTTATTTCCTCACTTTCCTGACTGCTCTTGTAAGATTTTAGTTCAGGAAAAAAAGTTTACTTAAATTTGATTAATTCTACACAAAGTGAACATCCAGTTTACCTCCTGCTGTGCAGATGGCACTTTGATAGTGGCCACTTGTCTTCTCTCCTCCAGCCCCCAAATTATTTCCTTTGGCCATTGGCGTTTGGTTCTCACTCAAGAGAATACGGTGAGGATCTAGTTCAATGCAAGGACTCCATAAACAGCTTTCTTGCATTGTAGTTAACTCTCCCCTCTCTCCCTCCCTGTTCTCCTTTCTCACTCAGGCCATCCATTTGTGATTGCTCAGTAGTGCAGACGTTCAAGCAGAGCAGCAGGATGTCAATGTTGTACTGACTGTCCGTATGATTGCCACTTTGTTTGATGTACATCTTGCGTTCATAGGCAGGAGAAGTGCTCATTTGCACTCTCCTCCTCTACCTTCCCTCCCCCTTCCTCCTTTGCTGTATATATTGTCGATTAACTACTGTACCTAACAATTTCCATCCTCCATTAGGCTGCCAATGTCCTCTTACAGCTCCCAATAAATCAGAGATCCATGCTCCCCGGCAGGCCATGCAGTAAGGTAGCACAGCCTCAGATGCTGACGGATGCAAGGGGACAGGCAGACCTGCAGAAGCAACAGAGGTGGTTGCGTTCAGAGTAACAATGTTGTCCTAAAGCTGCTAATTTTTACAGAGGATGATGTGGACACTTGGGTTCTTCTTGAGCCTGGTAAGAAACACTGGACCAGTTGATGGTAGTTTCGCCCAGTTACACTACTGTTTTTTTTCACCCTTGCTAAACTTGCTGTGACAGCAAGAGCCTGATCTTCCTTACACTCAAGTTTTATTGTCAGGCTTGAGTGTGGCTGCTTCTTTTTGTTCTGTGCCGAGACCTTTGCAGTCTGTGTTCACCTGAGGAAAAAACCCAGCCCTTCCCCACTCGTGCAGTATTCACACCAAATTTGTGCAATACCTTTTGCCTTCGATGCAAGATGCTTGTTGCAAGCCACACACATTCGGGTACAAAAGAAATGGGTTCATAACAAAAAGCTGAAGAAGCAAAACAAGGCTTCAGGGAATAGAGAAAGGGCCTGGGAGAGGAGAAGGTGCAAGCACAGAGGCAAAAAGCAGTGCCCTGCCATCCATCGTGCTGTGGAGCCAGTGGCTCCTTCCCTCGTGGTGTCCTTGGTGGCCCATGTGTGCTCAAGGTGCAGTACAGCTCTTGCAGAGCATCCAGGCCTGTGAACCCGGCTGCTTCCAGCACTGCCAGTGCTCCTGGTGAGCTCACCGCTGCTGTCCACAGCGCTTTAGCATTTCCTATTCTGGTGGTTGCTCTCCAATGACAGGCACAGGGAAAAGAATACTTGTTTAAACATATCAACATTTAGATAGTAAATACATTAGGTGACAGGAATATGCAGCAAATTTTTTTGTTGTTTTTTTTGGTTAAGAAAAAAATCTTAGGAAGTTGATTTGATTTGTTGCTTTTTTGCTTGAAACCAGGTAGTCGGTACTGATCTGCAGCGGAGCCCCAGCTTCTCTAGTCAGTCTGGCCCTCTGCCTCTGTCACGACAATAAAGCAAAAACTAACTTCCTGCCTTGGCAGTTCTAGTTTTGCTCCTTTTCCTGAAAATATGAACACTTCTATGATGATTATGTTCTTCCACACGCGTTCACAGAGTTGGAAAGCTTTCACTAAACCTATCTTGTGTTGAGGAGCCAAGTACCAGATGATGCAGCAGGGCAGAAAGGAAGCGTGGGGAAGCTTGCCCTGCCTTGTCTAGTCCTGCAGCAGGACAGGGCTCTCTGCTGGAGTCTCAGCCTGCTGCACCATTGGCTCCTTGGCCATGTCTCCTCTGCAGCCATCACCAGGAAAGGCTTTTCTCAGGCGGCTCTTTCTGGCCACCACAACAGGGGAAGCAGTCCAAAGCTGTCCTGTCCATTTTTGGCCTTTTTCTGTGAACCTTCAGTAACCTCTAAGCCCATCAGTAGATTTTTCTTTGGGTTTACCATTTAAGGGCTTTCTCCATCTTTGTATGTTGAAACAAAAATGTGAAGTGACATTATGCTTGATCTTGGGGGTTTTGTGCCCCTTGTAAGATTTCAGTACTGCTTTAGTTGCCAGACACCCTGCAAACAGATAACACCTGTTTGCAAGTGGTTTGTGGCCACTCTGAAAGGGGGTTGTGTGATTTACTTTTGGGTTTCACTGAGCAGGCTTTTTTTGTTGTCGTCCTTTTTAGTGGAAGTATTTTACTTAACTGTTGCCACTTCCTGGAGACAAACACTTTATTGGTCACCAAATTGGAAGCAGAAGTGCCATTAACTGAACTCTGTGAATGTCAAGTTGCGCCTGTAGCTGGCACATGAGACAACACCATTGAGTGGGGGGATGATCTCCCCCTTGTAACTTTTTTTTTAATTTAATTTTTTAAGAAAAAAAATGAAATTACAAACCTCATTTTAAATGTGCTGTGTAAAATGTTTTGGGAAAGGAGTACGGTGTGTTTTGTCTAGTGGGCGAGATCTCCCTCCCCATTTCAGTTTCTGATGAAGTTTTAAAGAATCGTGTTACTGTATGTTTTGATCATGAATAGTCTGGTGGTGCTTCCTCATAGCACAAGCTTAAATCAAGTACTGAAAACAGTCTTACAAGCTAAATGTCTGCATGATGTTACATCTGTTGTACCTACTGAGAAGAACTTTGTATGTAAATGTACAGAATAAAATGATGTTGTCCCATCAGTTTGCTCTCCCTAGTCTGGCTCCCTTGCAGTGACTTCTCAAATACCCAGCAGCAGCTGATGCCTCAGAAAATAGCCCTACCCTGCTCTACAAACAGAATGAGCTGTTTGTAAATCAGGCTAATTAAAACAGCACATTGATTTGCAAGTAATTATCCTTTACAGTCAATTACAGAAGCATAGTTGACTCTGTTTCCTCGGTGGTGTAAATTGAAAAGAAAACACCCTTCAACAGTTGCTTTTTGCTATTCTGATCTTGAACTGCAGCCAAGGACAGGCAGCTGTTCCCACCAGGTAAGGAGAGGCCCTCTGCACCCACACCAAATATGAGACATTGAAGCCACTGGGTGTTCGAACCCTTTTGGACAAGAGACTCAGCAGCTGTGCCTTCTACAGCAGCAGCCTCTCAGTTACAGGTTTTAATTGCTGATTGTAGCACCACAGCAAGATAAATTCATCACTTTTCTGTAGGTGCTTAGACAGTTGTCTAGAAGCAGCACTAGTAGTTTAGTAGTTTTGGTTTGTATCAGAAGCTGATGCTTGAGCACAAGTCAGGGCTCAACTCGGAATGAAAGGAAAAAAACCCACCAAAACCCAGATAGTTAACTCCTGGCTGCCATCTCATTAAAAAAAACAGCCAATGGATCTGCCTTAGTAAAAGATACCCATCCTACCTGAAAGTAAGCCCAGAGATGTTGCAACAGGATGCTTTTCACTGGTGGTCATGGTAGTAGACCTCTCTGATTTTATGTATATGCTCAATTTACACGTGATGCTCTTCTAGCAGCCTGACAGCTTTATCTATTGCTCCAGAACTTGGCTTGTGCTTTTTCCTTCTATGTAGTCCTCAGGGATGCATAAATAAGCCTTTGTGAAATCCTTCTCATGTTCTGAGTGCCCAAGGGATGGGAGGAAATCCATTGTTTAGCACCAGTACTATAACCAAGAGGGGCTAAAAGGACAAAAGTAACACTCATGTCACAACTTTACCATACAAAAATGTGGGGTTTCTTTATTTGAACACTAAAAGCTGCTATACTATGTTCAGTGCTAGTACACAGCATTATTAATTACACACATAATTATTAGATTAATTGTACAGATAGCATTTGGAACTGATTCGCCATCAGATCCCAGTACTGTGTAGAGGCCACACATCACATGCACTTTTTCAATCATGTTCATCCATTGCAGCATCCATTTGCTATCCTACTTGGCAGGGTAGCAAAAAAAAAATTGCTTTGAAAATTCAAATTCTATTTGAAAAAAAAGAAAATCCTAGTCAAGTGTATCTGTATTTAATAACAACCACAAATTCAATCAAAATAATATAAAAGAAATATACTAACTTAATGTCAGTGTGAAAATTGAAGTAAGTTTTTCTGAAACAAAACCTTCGTCTTCTTTTACAATGATGCACAATCAGAACTTGTCTGGAAAAGCTGTCATTTCTTCTTTGATCCTGTTTTCTATGAGTAAGGTGAAATTGCTGTCTGTGTTTTGAAGATTGTAGCTGACAAATATCTGCTTTTTGGTCTTGCTGGCTAAAACACAAAACAGAGTAGTCAGCCAGAGTTTACTCATATATAAAAGTGATTATGGTATTTGATCAAGCCTCTAAAAAAGCCACATCATGCAGATTTCTAAGATGTTCTCCACTCTCGCTGTGCTGGGTGCAGTTATAAATGAAAAGCAGAAAAGTCCCTGACCACTGGGAGCAGGGCACGATTTTGCACATCACAGAAGTGAACAATATAATACTAGTGACTGTCAACTAGTTTTTGACCTGACACAAGACACCACTAGCCACTGGAGAGCCTTGCAGAGCTTGTAGTGGATTTTTGGACACATCTTAAGCATCTTACATTGTAATTGACACCACAGACTCTTAGCACTGGACTCTTAGCACTGAAACTCAAAGTTTGTAAAACATTAGAGGGAAAGTGCCCAAGAAAGTCATTGGGCCCAAATTAATTAAGTTCTGGTTTTTTAATGAACCTTAAAAGGTTCATAAGCCTTAATAGGCCCCAAAAAGCTATGCACCAGTTCTGTCTAAGCTTGCTATCAATTTTGTTTCCATTAACCTTTTTTCATACAGTGTCCATGAATGCTCCAAGAGGCTGGAGAGCCTTTGCTGAACATGATGAAGCCAAGCACAAGTTCCAGGCTACTGTAATGACAAGTACCTAGAGAGAGGTGCTACAAAATTAAGAGCTGCCTTCCATGACAGAGCTAATTAACAGTGACAAAAAAACTGTCCAGTGGGACAAGAAGATTTAATTATCAGAGTAGAAGAGATAACCCCAAGAAGTGTTTTATAAATAAAATGCCATCCTACTTAGATTTTACCATGGTAATACAGCAAATTTGTGGCTCTCCTTATATATTACTGAAGCTAAACTTTTTGAAAAATGTAAGCACTATAGAGGGAAAATAGGCACTAAATTTAAATTGAGTTGTGTAAAATAGAAGACAAAAAATAGTATTTGGGTCACGAGATATTCTTGTCCAGGAATGAGCTGGGAGCTAATGACCCCAGACACAAATCAGACTGTTCGGCTGAATATTCAAAAATGTCATCTGAATTTTTAACACTTCGAAATAGAGACACTCGGACTTCTAAGATTTTAATCCTTTCTAAATAGGAAACTAAATAGTTAAATACAGAAACCCACACATATGTATGTATAAAATGTAGTTAAACAACTCCTTTAAGGCATTTTCATTATGCAAATGATTTTTTTATTATTTTGTATCCTAATAGGTTACCAGCTTCCTGACTCAGTAAGTAGAGCTGCTTCTGAAATGCAAGGATTCATTTGCCTTTTAAGACTTGGCACTACAAAATGCTGAGATAATGCAGCGTGGTGCTCTGATTGCAAAAATTAGCACCTGGCACTAGATTTCTGAGGTACAAAGCAGCATGTTTTGTAAGCACTAGTGCTTCATCATCATGGCCTAAATGAATGCAATGCTAATTCTGAACTCATTAATGCCATTATCCCAGCTAACAAAACTACAGAGTGCACTGCAGTGTCAAAACTCAACTTGTTAATTATGTTTGCCTATAGAGTCTCTGGGATGCTGTTCCAGTTCCCAGGAACAGTGTGAATCTGGGAGTCTCTCTGGGCTGCCTGTGCCAAGGACCTCTGCTCCCAAGGCTCTGTCCCAGCTCTGAGGGGCAGGGGGACCTTTTCTGTCCCTGCTTCCTGAGGATTCAGCCAGACATGTGCACTCCTGCGGAAAGGACAAAAGAGGGCACATCTCATGCCTCTGTGGAAGACCATCTGCAGCTTCAGAGCAAAGCAAAAACTGCAAAGGACAAGGCTTAGCTAAAAAGCCCTCCAGCAGGTCTGCTTCCCATGCAGCTTGGGTAATAACCCCTGTTCCACTGGCTCTTCAAAGTGGAGGAAAATCACCTTTGACAGCCATCGTCCGGGATGTGCTGAGTTCCAGGAGAAACTACAGCAGCACAGATCTGCTCCTACAACTCCGTGTACTGAGCAAAGGCCCAAACCAAAGCTTGAAGAGGAGCCCAGCAGGAGCAGAAGAGGCTGGACAAATGTTAGACATGAGTTTGTAGACTATTTATGCTGGAAAAGACGTGATGAAAGTGACCAGTGCCCAGCTGAGAAATACTCAAAGAAAAGGTTGAGGTGATTTTCACCAAAAGTCTGCCAGTCCCTACAAAAGGAAGATTGAAGACGTTGCACTAATCAATACTTTGCAGCCCAAAGCACTTTGATTTCAGGATATGTACATGAGGGAGGCACTAATGGACAAGGACTTTCTCAAGAATTGGCCTCCAGTATTCTACATGAAACTTTCTTAGGATTCAGGTTTATTGACTAGTGAGACACATCTTGTGCCAAAGTGATCACGCAGGGTGGGGGGAAACAGTCCCTGTACCTCATAAAAGCAGATATAAATAGATATATGTAGAAAGAGGAATAAGAATTAAGTACACGTGTCTTCAGCAACAGAAAAAAAATCAGAAATAAGGAAGGAGATAGAGCCAATACACAAAATGCAGCTGTTGTGGCTAGGACCCCTACCAAACTATCCAGGAAAAAAAAGGAAAATGTGTGCACTGTGCTGCACAGCAGCACTGAAACTCCTGCTCGAGGACAGGAAACCTGGCATTGCAGGAACACTTGGCAGATGATGGAATGCGACTGGCAATTGTAAGAAATAGAAATAGCTATGTGCAAATGGCACTGCATGCTGCTCCTGCTAGTGCCTGTGGAGACAAGAAACTGCACAGAAAAAATGGTGGGGGGAGGAAAGGAGAGAAAAACTGCCTGCCTGAAGGTTACCACATGTCAGGATGGTTAAAAGCTACCTTGGAAGTACAAGTCAGACTTGGCTGTGAATAGGATCTCTGCTATTACAGATTGTGTGGGTATAACAGGGATTTAAATTCCCGGAGAAAAACTAAACTCCAATAACAGCAAAGATGGGTATTTCTAGCTGAGGTGGAGCACAGATTTCCTTACCAAGCACTTAGTGAAACAAAGATAAGGGATGCTTGTTGATGATCTTGCAGATCCACTGGTCTTAGGATAAATAAATTTTAAAAAATAGATGAATAAATAAATAAATTTGGACTAAGTGACCATGAGTTGACCTAAATTGCTGGTCTGTCAAAGCCAGCCTAAAGACTATGGTGTGAGATTTCAAAAAGATGTATTTCTTTTCCCTGAAGATCAGGTAAAGAGCAAGCACAATTATTCAAACCCATAAGTGTATGATAGACTTATAGACCTTTTTCACTTTTGGTTCAAAGGAGAAAGTCATTCTCAAAATATTATACCTTAACCAGGATCACAGTATATAAAAATAATAAGAACAGTATATAAAAATAATATGAAAGGAGCTGACTGGCAAGGAAACCTGCAACCCAGTGGATAGATGTCATGGATACAGAAGAACATGGACCAAAAGCCTAGCTGGGCCACAACTGGCTCAGAAATTTAAGATGAAATAACAAAAGACACCTAAAGCGTTCAAAGAAAAAGAAAATAGGAAGGTGCATTATAGTCCAAGGACAAAGAGTAACCTATAGACCAGTACTGAGCAACAGTATCAGTTCTCAGTAACAAAGTATGGGAAATTAGGAATGTAAATAATAAAAGCACCTTAAGAAAAAAATAGAAAAGGATAAGAAAAAAAGGCAGCAAAACTGAGACAACTCACTAGGAGAAAAGTCAGGTAAGTCAGGCAGCCTCTGTCCTGGAACACCGAAAGAGCTAATGGAAGAAATGGCAAGTTACTATGAACTTCAGCTATGAAACATGTAATAAATCCTTTAAGAGAGACAGCAAGCATATGTACAAAAAAAAAAACAAACCAAAAGGAGTATGGCAATCACTAAGATAATTTAGAGCTGTCAGCCGAGCTGCAATGCTACACACAGGATTAGAGCAAGGTTTAGAAGAAATGAGTGACAAGGAGACCAAATGGAAAGTGGAATAAACTATTATACTTTATCCCAAATAAACCCTCTCTGATTACATTTTTACTGACTTCCTAAGGATAAGGCACTAATTACACATAAAGAAGCTGTGTTATATAGTACCCTATAAAATTATTACTTGAGGTGGAATGGATTGAATTCAGTGTGTAGAGAAAATTGTGCCACCAGGGTCAACTAAAACAGTCTCTTACTTTCATACAGAAGTTATTGTGAAGAAGAAAAGATGCTAACACTATTTTTCAAAGATTAGTCTTGTGAGCAACCCTTTTTTATATGAGGCCATGGAGAAGAAAGTGTTGTAGATTCATGAAAGTGCCTGACAATACAAACTCAGGACACACTGTCTGAAATGGAGATCAGCACACAGATCATTAATAATTCTGTGGCCTTTCCATCTGAAACAGAGGAAGTAAGGTGAGACTGAGCAGAGCAGCTCAGCATGTTGTTTCTAAAACTGGGTAACAAGCACCTCAGCAGTTCACCAGCTGGTGCTGCATCGGCCACTGGTGGGTGATGATGAGTAACCAGCATGACACAGCTCTCAGAGCTGAGAAGGTGCTAGGATGTACTAGGCCGTGTATTTTTCATCTTTTTAGTATGGACATGGGAGTTTGCAAGCTGTTGTTAAGATTCAGGATTTCAGCTACTGCAGCAGCTGTAGCACACTGCACATGATGGAAAAGGAAGCATCCCCAGCAGTGCCCATGTGGGTCAGTCAGATCAAGCCCAGGCATCTGTGAGACAACCCTGGGCTTCCCAGGCCAGAACTTCTTGGAATGTGGGGGCTAAAAGGTGCGAGATGTGATGAAGGTTGGCTTCATCTTCAGGTAAAGTGCACATGCCTGGCATGACGGCCACCTCGGCAGTGTCACAGCTTTACAGAGAGCAGGTCACTTGAAACCCCACTCGACAGGTGCAGCATGTGCTGCCCCTGCCTCGCACCCAAAGCCAGGACAAGGACAGCAAATAATTCACTTTGGTAGGGCATAGCGTGCCCAAGACCGCTGACTCAGGTACCGCAGACTCGTACACGGATGGGAAAATAAAAGTGACTCGGTGGATTGGATGGAAGCTGCCAGAACCCGCAGTAGTGCCGGCTCTGCGGCTGGGGCAGCGAGCACCGCATCCCTGTGCACCCCCTGGGCCGGGCTGGCGGCTCAGGGCCCCCAGAGAGGCCCGGCCCGCTCCCGACCCGCGCGCTCCCGGCGGGAGGCGGCTCCGCGCAGCGCGCCCCCGCAGCGCGCCCCCGCACCTACCCAAGCGCTGCGCCAGGCAGGAGGAGGCGGTGTCCGAGGGGTCCCCCAGGAGCGAGGCGGCCACAGGGATGCTGTCCTGCAAGCGGAGCACAGCACAGGGCACGGCTTAGTCCCGGCAGCGCGGGGCAGAGGCGGCGGGGCCAGCCCTCAGCGCCGCGGGGCTCCGGGGGCGGGCGACACTCACACGGGGGCTGCACATGGCGACGGCCAGGCTGGCCAGGGCGGGAGCGGCGCCCACCCAGAGGAAGAGCGAGTCCCGCAGCCGCATGGCGTGGAAGTGCACCCGCTGCTCGCCCAGCTGCCCGCTGAAGTCGTGCAGGGCGATGCCGCCCGCCGCTCCGCCGCCGCCCGCCGCCTCCATCGCCGCTTCTCCCGGCGTGGCCAGGCCCGAGCACGCAAGGCCCGAGCGGGAGGCCGGACTCGGCCCGCCCCGCGGCCCCGGGAAGGCGGTGCTCGCTCCGCTCCGCCGTGCCCGCCCCGCCGGGAGGCACCGCCCCCGGCACCGGCCCTGCGCTGCCGCCCGCCCCGTGCGGCTGCCGGGGCTTGCACGCTTCCCACTCCCCCAGGGAACACCCGCACACGGACACGCACACCGGTGCCCGCACCCCGCTCCGTGCGCGCCCCTCCCCGAGCCTCCCCTCCGTCCGTGCACAGACCCCGCCAGCACGAACACGCCCGGGTACAGCCCCCCGGGAGCGCCCCCTCCGTGCCCCCTACCCCCCGAACTCTCACTCTCCCCGGTCGGTGCGCACCCCCTCCGTTTCCCACTATTCCTCTCCCATCTCAAAAGACACAGCGCCCTCCCGGTGCGCAGGCACACCCCCTGTGTGGGAACACAGCCGCAGCCCCGGTGAGCCCCCGTTCCGTGCACGGCTTCCCGCGGCTCCCGCCTCCCCGCGCTCTGCCGCGCCGCCCGCCCGGCAGAGGGATAACGCGAGGCAGCCGCAGGGATGGGGAAACCCCGCTAGGTGGCAGGTGAACCCCTGCGTGTGCGCCTGGCACACCGATGGCTCCGGGGAGTCACCCGAGAGGAGCCCCGGGGTTTCAGACGAAAGGGAAAGGGTTCAGCCTTCCCTGTGCAGCCTCGGGAAGGGGGAGGAAGGTCACAGCGACCTTGGCTTCATTCAGCTGTGGAGGTTTTCGGCATCGGGGATCTACAAAGCAAGTGATTCGGGTTTGCATAGCTCTGGAGAATATGGAGCCGTGAATAATTAAAAGCCCTACTTTGGGTGTGAATTCTGTGCTCATCGCTCTTTCCGCCGCAGCACAGCAAAGTCGGTCATTACTGGAGAGGATTTCAGTAAGTGTACCGTCTGTTGCTGATAAGAATATTGTCGGCTCCCCGATGGCCGTGGGCCCTTTTCAATTGGAAACATGTATCTTCACGCCACCGGCAGGGCAATCATCGCTGCACAAAGAATAAGCAGGTTAAGGGTGCAGGTTGGCTTTTTATGAGCATTTCCTCTGCCTCCGGTTTCCTACATACCGCTGGAAATCAACATTTCCATTTCTAAATGGTAAGATTTTATTTTCCCATTGAAGAAATGGGTGGAGGGGAAAGAACCCTTCATCACTTTTCTTCCCTGAGCCGCTCCAGTTCTCCTGGCATCTGCCAAAAAAAAAATCCTCAGCCCTGTGCTAATTTCTGCCCATGCTGCTGCACTGACACTAAATCCCGGGAGGCAGCTAAGCCCGGCTCAGCTGCCATACCCCGACATCCCATGGCAGGGGATCAGCTTGGAGAGAAGGGGGGTCGCACGCCACCCTCCTGCCCTACATTTGTCACTTGCTTCTTGCACAAAGCATTATGGGATGTATGGTGTCGGGCCCCCACTATGTCTGTCCCCTGCCTCGCTGCTGAAACAGCATCAGGCTTGTGCTGGTCCAGCCAGTCCCGACCCTTTCCCATGTGGGCTGGCCTCCCACAAAGTGAGGTACTGCAGAAGCTGGTAATTGTGTTGGGGCTCAAAAACCTGTCCCCACAGCCTGTTGCAAACTGACACTTTGCCTGTGGCAGCTGTGAAATCAGACAGGCAAATAGGTGACAAAAGCCACCTTGGAAGGGAGAGAGTGTTGGCTATATGCACTCTGCTCATTGCAGCTGCAGGTTCACTCTGCAGCTGGGTAGGCAGGCCTGCCAGCTAAAACAGCCAGGAGCCAGGAGCATTGCAAAAATTAAATTCTAGGAACAGGATAAAATGTCTGCTGGGAGCCACACAGGTGGTGGTGGTGAGATTCCTCTGGTTAGACACCTGCAGGTGATGGAGGAATGTGCCCCAGGCTTGTTTGATCAGTGGAGAGAAGAGGAAATATTAGCACACAGTTCACCTGAGCTGCTTTAGGTCTCTCTTTTGAGAGAGAAGGAGCCTCTCTTGCCTGGTTTCCATTGCCTTGAAAGAAGGTGAGGGTGAAAGGTAAGGCATTGCATAGCTTTGCAGACAGATTTATTCATGCAGGCAAATCCTCCTCTAAATGTTCAGAGCCAGTTTCTTTGCTATGCTGGGTCAGAGTTGGCTTCTGCAATGGAGTCCTAGTGGAGGATCTGTTCTAACAAATTTCTAGCTCAGTGTGTCTTCCCACAAAGTAGAAGTTTGAGCCTCCTTGTGTGCTGAACCTTTGTTAAAGTCATCTGCTGGACTAAAGTAAGAGTTTTCTTCACTGCTCTTTCCGCATCAGGTGCAAATGTCTGGTATTGCTTCTGAGGCTGTCTCCTGACTTGCTTCTCCCTACAGGGAACTGCCCCTATTTCATCATGCTGTGATCTGTTCCTCTTCTCACCAGGAGTCTTGTCCAAAGTGCCTGTAACTTCCCTTATCCTAAACCCTGCAGACCTCTAAAAGTAAGTCACAGGGCTCCTCTGCTTGCTAGCAGTTCCGTGTACTCAATGCTTTTCTGTGAAATGCAGCTGCTCTCTGTAAATCATGCAAAATCCTTGTTTAAGCTCAGAAAAGGAAAAACATTCATCTAGTGACTAAAATGCTGGTTAAGCATTTTATTTGAAGTGCAGGTGTGTGAGTAGAGCTGTGCAGAACCAGACCATCAAGTGTGAAATGAATTTCTTTATTACCGCACTGCAAGGTCATGAGAATCCCTACAAAATAAGAGGGAAAAGCACTCTATATGTGTATGGACCCTCTTACATTTCCTTTAAAATGCTCATCTTTTTTTCCTGTGGCCTTGAAAGCAGCACCTACAAGTCTGCTTCGTTTGTTAGGTATGAGGCTGTAATCAGCCTCAGGTGTAGTAGTAGACACACTGGAGAGGAAAATAATGATAAAGCAAACACACCTTGGCAAAAGCACTGCCTGTTTATATGGATGCATATGTGTTCCTACTCAGGTAAGATCCAAGCTCTGGGAAGGGTGATTTAAAGGTATTTAAGTGATTTAAAGGTATTTAGGATTTAGAAGTACTTCTATCTACCTTGTTCTTCCCCAAAAGTTAGGTTGCCCCTAAGAATCACTAGATCCTAAACCTTGATTTTTACTGATCATCATCTCCCCTCCAGTAGAGTTTTAAGTGAGGAGTAAATCTTCCTGGTAACTGTGGAGACGAGACCCATATCACTGAGAGCAGCAATTTTTTCTGATTCCAAAATGTATTCAGTGCTTTGGCTCCTGCATGAAATAAGAGTGAATCTGACATGTGAGAAGGCAGGTAACCATTAGTGTGTGTCAGTGAACCTCCTGTTGATGCCTAGGGTGTTCTAATTTTCTTGATTTGCCATCCTTCTGCAGAGGAGTAAATTACTCTTGATAAAGCCAAGCAAAACCTTCCAACTGTTCTGTTAAGGCTCCATGACACCAGGCTGCTGCTGTGGTAGCTGTGCTGCAGTCCCAGGCTTCCAGGGATCTACTTTATTTGAGGCTTGGATGCTCATTGTAGGTAGACTTCCATCAGTGGCATCAGATGGCTGAAGGGCTCTTTTCTCTCCCTCTACATCAAGGCACCTGAGGATCTGGAAAAAATACTTCCTTTTTTTTTTTCTGACATTGAATGATTTTTCTCAGCTGGATCCATCCTCTGATGTAGATTGTTGTCCCACTGCTCAAAAACTTGTGCTGTCATCATGGAAGGCAGAATCAGGCAAGTAAGAAAGGGAGAAGTGTCTTTCCTTACACTTTAGTGTTACCGTGGTTGTAAGGCTGTGGCCATCTAAACCAATTTAAGGTGGGGCTGGCCCAGTCTTTCTTTCTCGTGCCTCTAATATGAGGATGAGTCAGGGTCCTGGCATGGGTTGTTGGTTAGCTGTGATAGGAAGTTGCTCCTGAATCATCTAACCATGGCCACAGGGGTAACCTGAGGACTCAAAACTCTTTGTCAAGTGTTGATCAGCCTGAGTTGTAGTCTCAGAAAAAGAGATGGAAAGAGAATCCAGGCTGGAACTTCCAAAAAAGTTGCAGAAAATGGGGGAATCAGACTTGTGAACTTGTATGAAAATCAGTTTAAGAGATCTGCAAGGGAACTACACTAAGTTCATGCTGTGAATCTTGCAATCTAAAGCACTATCAAAGCCACCCCTCTCTGAAAAGCACTAGTAAGCAGATGCAAAATATAGATGTACAAGCAATTCCACATCTGCAGCAGCTGCTATGACAGTGTTAGCAGACCTGCTACAACACCTCCTCATCACACATGCTGGTACCTAGGCAGGCACTGCTACAAGGACATTAAGTTCCTGATTTCCAAAAGACTTAAGGTAATGGTTTTGGGGTTTTTTCTGGGGTTTGTAACCTCAGCTGTTAGGATTTCCATACATGTGGGATGAAGCCTGGAATGCAAGTGGCACAGCAATTCTCTGTCAGCTGGGATCCTCTGCACAGTGTGTTTGATTAGAAATCATGTCTGTTAGGTTTTGTGCCCGACTGACCCAGTGGCCTCCTGCCAGTCTCTTCTACCCTGTTTTATTTCACTCCTCTGCAGACTAGAAGAGTACAATAATTGTTGCCTATCTCCCTGCAGCTGAACACAGCTCCCTGTGACACACAGCTTGTAAGGACCTTTGTGAGCCCAGCCTACATTTCTGCTGTTATCAAATCAGACAGTTTCCTTTCATTGTCATATGAGTCATTGGAGGACCTTGCCTTAGATCTGCTGGAGCATTTCAGACACATGGTTTTGTAGCTGCCGGACGGGAGGCACTAACACAGAGTGACTCATTGCTCCCCTTGGGGACAAGAGATTTATGCAGTCAACTGGAAATCATATTTGGTATGCAGATAGACCACTTCATGGTGGAGAATCCCAAAGAATCTTAACAACACCACCTCCCCTACATAGATGTCAGCAGCTGTAGCGAGTTCTACAGGAGCAATGGGGTAATTACACACCTGTGACCTGACGGGAAGGGCACAGGTGTGAAAGGCTAATGGAACTGACTTTTTGAAAGGCTGAGAAGGAAAA